GGAGCCAGGTAGAGGGGCTGTGACAACACAGCATTGCCGCCGGCTTTGTGTCCAGCCGCTTGGCACCCCTCCCTCTGCCGCTGAATCCACCACCAGCTTCCTCGCGTCCAGGGTGTTCAGGGGCAGGGCCCTGCACAGGCTGCTTTGCCCTGGGCCCCTCACCCTGCTCGGGTCATCTCTGTATGTGAGGATGGAAAAGGGGAACAAGAATTCAAAGTTCAGGTTGAGGACTTTCTCTGCTTATAAGTGAACATCTTTAAAGTAAATTTAAGATCTCAATGGTTGCCAATTAAAAGATCTGATTATCTGTCCATTTTAGTTTGCTAATCACCAAGTTGTGTAAGCACCCTCAGCACTAGTATGTTGGATGCTCTATAGCAGTGGTTCTCAACCTGGGATCCACGGGCCAAGTGCAGCCCAATCAGCACAATGCTGTGGTCCACGTGTCATCCTATTAAAACAATTTTAAAATAGATACACAGGAAGTAAGTTGTGTGGGTGCAACCCACATAATGCATTGAGAACTGCACGTGTGGCCCACTATGGCAAATAGGTTGAGAACCACTGATCTATAGCAATCTACAGAATTTTTGTTAAATTATAGATACAAAATAAATAGAAAGTTCTAAAGATTGCAGTAATCCAGATTTCAGATGTGGTATAATGAAAGCATAAATCAGTAACTGAGTACATCCCTTATTGGCCAATCTTGCTGGTTATAGAGATGATAGGATAAGGATTTTATAACTCAAGCAAATAAATGGAGCCTTGAACAAACAGCTCAGGATTCAAACTTTTGAAAGATGAAGTAGTTTTAGTAGGCTCTTTGGTCCTTTTACTATAAAAGAATTACAACGGGCAAAGCAGCATCTTTCCAAAAATGACACAATCAGACTAAAATCTGGTTTTCTGAGGTTGTATTAAATTCATAAAATGTTCAGAATGTCACTTAGTCAAGTTATAGAAAGCCCCCTAGATGACCTCAGATAGAAAAACAAAACAGTGTATCATACACATAAAGTGGTACCAAAAATATGTCTTTGTGCCCCTACAGAAAAGAAATTGCACATAGAACAACATAAATTCAAGAACTGAGACTTGTGGGAGTCTCCAGACATTTGAATCTGATTGGAAGAAAACTCTCACAAAATAATAAACTGGGAGTCATTTTCTGATCTTCTCCAGAATCCCAGTCTGCTGCATTTTACCAGCAGGGATAAAGAAGGAAAGCTTTTAAGTCAGCCAGCATCAGATTGATTCATAAAGCAAACAGCAAAAGTATTATGAGGCAAGCCTGCATGTTATGATAGACATCTAGGAATACTCATCTTTGGCAGTCTATCCATCTTTGGCTAAAGGGGTGGAAACTCTGGTTTGTTTCCCTGGGTAATGTATAGAATTCTGTTCATACTCCAACTCATTTTATGTGGCCATAGGGAGCCAAGTCAGGACTTAAAATTAGCTGTAATTTTTGTTGATCAGATTGTATGATGGGCCAGCTTATTTTTTTTCCATGACTGTTGTAGGAGATCTATATGACAACTATAGGCTATTCTCTTTGTGTTTAAACCATTTGTAAGGTAGGTGGATTTGATTCATTTTTCATTTCCAGCTGTCTGCTGAGACAATCAGCTAGTGACTGAAAGATTTCCTTTATGAAGGTGACTTACAAATGCTGCTTTATTTTACATTTAGAAAGTGAGTGCTTTGCTTGATACTCAAGACAGGGTAAAGGGGCATTCTGCAGTTGCTTTATTCTAAATATACCTTTTAAAATTCTTTTAGGGGAAGTACTAGAAATTCATAGTTACTATGGACCATAGTGGCCCAAGAAAATTGCAGTTTTAAAATATATGTTTAAAAAGTTTAATGAATTAACATGAAAACCCTATTTTAAACTACAAAGCCTATTTGGTAGTATATACTATGTTTGATAAGTCGCATTTAACTGTTTTCAAGGCTAGCACAGTTTTAGCAGCTGTGGCATTAATGTATATTATATAATATGTTGGCGGATGAGATTTTGCAGGCCAGAACATTTTTAAACTGTATATTTAGAGTCATGTCATCATATATCCTTTCTAGGAAAGTCACAGAAGTGGGGAAAGTAGAATGGGCAAACCAGTCAGTGTGAATCCAACTCCTGTGTGAACATCAAGCTTTATCTTTTATTTGTATTGCTGAAGTGCCCAGTCATGAGCCAGGATACTAATGTTGGGCACTATAGAAAAAGGCACTATAGAAAAAGATGGCTTCTTCCTCACACACTTTAAAAGGTAGGAAAACCAAGAAGATATTGAGTATGCTAGGCAGTGGTGTCAGCCTGCCATCCATTTTAACTGTAACTGTATTGCAGGACTTTGCTCATAAACATTACATAAAACTGCCATGAACATAAATAGAATTGAATCTCTTACCCATGGAAAGTGCCAAATTTTACTTTCTTTTAGCTAAAGATATATGGATTGCTAGAGATGAATGTTTCTGGGTGGGTCTCATGATATGGGGTGCCTGTACATGAGTGCAGAAGCTGCTCTGACACACTATAATTACAGCATGGTGAAACAGACTCGATTAAGCCTCCCGTGTCTCGTGTATCAGTGTCCATGTGCTTCAAAATGGTGGCAGGGTTGCTTGAACTAAAGCTCTGTCCCCCGGTGCCCCCGGAGCACCTGTAAAAGTACCCATGCAGTCCTGTTGAATGTTGCTTTTCCTCTTCACTTTAAGTTTGAAAGTATTCTTTTTGGCTGAAAAAAGATTTGATTTTGAAAATTCTCTTACTAGATTTTATACTTTGTAAGTGTAGATTGATGTGACTATTGGTTTATAGATCAGACCACCACATACAGAAATAGCATGGTTATGAGAAAATTGGCATGGTTATGAAATCTTCAGTATGTATTTAATAAAGTTATCCAAAAATCTTGTTGTATTTACTTTTATGAACGAAACAGATTATTTGTATTTAAGATGTATACTGCAGTAGTATCTAAAAGTGACAGCTGGTCCTGGTTCCCTGATGGGAGTTGTTGCACAAACATATAATAAGTGATAGTCTCTGACGCCAAAAGGTTATAAGCCAAAACACAAGTGAATGAGATGGAAAAACATAGCAGGCGAATGAGAAGGAAAAGCATACTGGGATGGAGTAGGGAAGATGGGAGCATAAATTTGAGAAGTACCCAGTTCCAAGCTTGTAATAGTAATCACAGCTTTCTACCTGTCAAGCCACTATCTGGGTGTACCTTACTGTATGCACTACATAAGAGGTGATTTTTGAGAAGGGAATTGAGAGAAAGAAGAAAATCGTTTGAGGATTTTGATGGAGAGTTGTTTCCCACTTCTCAAGGCATTGTAGGAGAACTGTGAAACAAAGGTTTGCTGATTTGGGCCCAGGTTTTATAAAAGACCTGGATGATGATCTAGTTGGTCCAGTGTAAGAGACACTCTAGGTTTTTGGTGTTTCATTGACAGTTTCTCTGAACATAATGTAATTCCTTGTCCAAGGTTTTGATGCCCTTTGTCTTAAAGTGGGTATTGTAAAGAATGTGATCTCTGCTATTTCTAGTGTTTTGCTTTGAAAGGGATTAGTTTAAAATGTCAAAAGCAATTGCTTAAAATTATTGTTTAAAGTTTTCTTAGACCAATTTACTTGCTCTTTTAAAGGAGAAACATGCATTTAACATTATTTAAAATCCAAAATATGGTTTGTGAAATCTCACTAAAGAGAGTGCATGCTCAACAAGGTAGAGATGATAACCTGCTGGATTTGGAGGAAGGAAGGAGACAGAAGCTCCATTTGTCTTCCCACCCTGATGCTATCTGTGTCTTCACTGGTTTTCTGCAGGATTTGAGCATTATGGATGGGGATGACGTTGGGATTAAACAGGGTCTGACTTACGCAGAGACAGCTACTTCTAGTGGGAGTCACTGAGTAGTTAATGTTCAAGCCTCGGCATATTTACTTGCTTTCCCCCTATGTACTCTCTGTGAGAAGGTTTGGTGGCAATCTCCTTTTACAGTGCATTGGTGTAGGTTTGCAAGGCTTGGAGGTCCAGAAGGTCGGGCAAAGAGAGATGGCCTTTGTACAGATGGTTCTGAGTTCTAACAGATTCCATGGGAGCCGTTGAGACCTTGGATGGAAGCCCCTGCTTTTTCTGCACGTACATTTGTATTGTGTACATGGAACACACAGAAAATTACCATAGGGTGATAACAAATGGAAAATCATGGCATTTTTTCTCACAAGCTGCGAGTGACCAGATTCTTACGCGCATAATGAACCGTTATCTGAGTAGACATTAAAAATTAATGGCATATATTAATTATTATTAATCTATATTAATGTCATATACGTCCATATCGATTTCTTTAAATAAAAGGTGTAGGTGGCATAATACCTTCTATTAACACTGTATTTCCTTCTGACATGGAGACTGCTTAATTTTTATTACGTGTAATTTAAAATGAAAAATATCATAGTACGAATACAAGAAAATTGAAATGTAAAAGCTGTTGTAGGTTTTGTTGCATCATCTATAGATACTACTAAGACATCATATTTTAAAATATGTCTTTAAATTGCTTATTTCAAAAAGCTCTAAGCTGAAGTAAAAGATTTAAAATGACAAGTTATTTTTCTTAACAGTATTTGAATTAGCAACACAGTGTATTGTAATTGAATGAATTATGATTTGATGTCTGGGAAGAAGAAGCAGTGTTGTATTTGGACTAAGAGATTACTTGCTGGCTTTGTCACAGTTGACATTAATTATTGATAGAAGTTTCAGAAATAGCGCATGTGCCGACAGAGTTGACTGTAATATAAGATAGAAACTGCAGTGATGCTAGAGGGATTATAAAGAAGGAAACACCTGTAGAATGTGGACTTCTGTACTTCTGAACATCAGATTTTTAGTTTGCTATGAACTACATTTATGAGTGAGAAAATAATGAAAAAGATGAGTCGCCAAGCTTATTTTTATCGTGTCCCTCCACAGGAACTACACAGAAGAACCCAACTTCAGCCTGAACCAGCAAAGACAAAGGCTCTTCAGACAGTTATAGAGATGAAGGTATGAGCTTTGCATGTTTACTAATACAATGTCTTTTCATTTTAAGTTAATTTAATTTTAAATATTAAAGCATTCATTAAGTGCTAGCTTTTACTACAGAATTTATTCCAGTGTTAAGCAAGGGAACAGTCAGCATTTCTCTCCTCCACCCCCATTCCAAAATTGTCAGAGATCTGTAAAACAGTCCATGACTAATACCTCTTCTACATGAAAAGCTGAGGCCTACAGTTTCAGAAAAAGGTATAAAAATATTCTTTGTCTCCAGGAAGAAAAAAATTCATGTCTCTCCAAAGCCATTTTTGGCAAATAATTCCACCCTCTTTTCACACATTTCCTTAATCAATTACCCACATGTTAAAAAAATAACTGATCTGTAGGGAATACGCTGATAAACTCTTCAGATTTTAAAAACTTAATTATTGGAAAAGGGGAGCTATTTATTTATATCTATATAATCTATTTACTATGTAATTGGGGACCTACTTAAATTGTGGTGAGACAAAGGGTTTTTCATGGTCTGCTTGTGGCATGCAGACCCAATTTTGCAGGCATTTCACAGTGGCCCTGCCCCTCACTCCTGATTGGCCCTGGAAGCCCTGTTTGTCACCGCTGATTGGCAACAAAATACTTTTGCTTTCCTGACTGGTTCCTTCACTAAGTCTATGTCAGTAGCTCATCCTCTCAGTAGTTCTCTCTCAAATCACATGCTCTATAGCTTCAGTAATGGCTGTGCTTTCTTTATATTCATAGAAAATTAGGGTTGGAAGGGACATCAGGACATCAGAGGGAATGGTGGGGAACACGCTCCCCCCGATTTGTGTGCCCACAGCGGGCACAGGGATGCAGCCTAGCTGAACCAGCAGGGGCAGGAGCCATGTCTGTAGCCCAGCATGCAGGACTTGGCGTGGGAGGGAGGAGCGGGGCTGCAAGACTCATTGCTGTCTCTGCCTCCCCACACACCCACTCTCTGCCCCACACACTGGGGAGCTGGTGTCTGGGTGCAAGGGGTAGAGGGTTGGGAGTGAGGGGCACCAGCAGAGCCTGTGGGCTGTTTTCTACTTAAACTGTTTACTGAATCAGGATTGGCCATTGATGTTTACAAATGGGTCCTGATACAAAAAAGGTTGAGAATCACTGATCTAGTCCAAAATTCCTGTAAGCACATTTTTAGGGGGTCAGTTCCATGGGAAATTGCAGCTAATGCCATTTTTTCAGTGATCTCAGAGATCACTGTTTTTTGTTTTCTTTGAAAGCAATTTAAGTAGGTCCCTGTATATAATCATATATATAAAGACTTCCATATTCTACCAGATATAGGATAATTCTATCCTTTTTTTTAATCCTCCACTTTAATGGCTGCCCTCACTACACCATTGTTACTATTCTTTGTTAGGAAGGTAGACAAACAGCTTCCTTAAAATTCTGCTTGGTGAAGTTTTCCAAAGGTATTTCAACTTTATAGAAAAGGATGATACTCCATGTTTTATATTATTTTACTGATAAGAATATCTTCACCTGTTTGAAGAAAACTTTATTAGTTTCAGTAATAGAAAAAAAAATTAGAAACCTGAGCCTAAAAATCCTTGCTCCCATGCATGTAATCCCTACTTTGATGGCCCTATTCATGCAGGTAAGAGTCTACAAGGTTGGCTTCTATACTTATTGAATAAAGAAGATACTAAAAGAAAACTTCAGGTTTTATTTGTCACAATAATAACTCCTGCTTTCTCCTGGGCTAGCATCGATGTATATAAGGTGTAGGTTCATCAAATCCTGTGGAGTTCTAGTGTTATAAATCTGGTGTAACTCAAGTCACAATCAGGTCATACCTGAGCGGTTATATAACCTTCTGTATGATATAGTATAAATGGCAGGAAAAATTTCCATTCTTATCTACCCTAATAATGTAATCACAATTCAGCACTAAGTTTAATGTTTCTGGATATTACTTATTTTGGGGCACAAAATTCTTGCATTGTAAATCTTACTCCTTACTGTAGACTCACCCAGTTTACATGAGATACTAAATACTGTATGCAATAAACTAATTCTACTACACTTTAGCATGTCACAGCAAAGCTGTGCTATTGCATTAATGTACAGTAGAATTAATTTAGCATCACTAAAAAGGTGTGCTCAGGAGCACTGGTTACTGCACATTCAGTAAATTCACTAAACTTAACGTATGGTACCAACAGCACATAATGCACATGTAGATGTGCCCACTGTGTCTGTGATTTGACAAACTTAGCTGTACCAACCAGCCAGATAAATTCATATAATTAAAAGTATTTTTTAATACTGGCTTTTAAACAGGACTTCATAGCTGGCATTGTCTATATTTCTGTATAATTTGCTTTTCTTTTGAACACTATGTTTAATTGTATCTAAACACTTTTCCTCAATTCATAAGTTGCTAGACTCCCTGCAGCCTACTGGAGACACAAAAGCATGTGCATAAAATGAACACAACAGAGGATATTTTTTAAAATAAGTATTTGTTGAATATTGAGGAACAAATGCCAGATGTTCTAAAGGCAGTTCCAGATGTGCTGAGACCAAAAATTATGAGTGGGTATAGAAGTAAAGTGTAACAGACTAAGTCCAGATAATGTGCCTTTAAAGAAATTATATTTCTGTTGAAGGTCACTCCCCCATCGCCTACACTTCACTGAACAAGTGTTTACACTGCAGGTAGCTCAGGAATTTGTACAAAGGGATGGATTTTTTGACATAGTTTAAGGAAAATCTGTTCTGCAAGTGCAGTACTTTGATTGCTCTGTTTGCTATATAATATTGCTATTTGAAGCTTGGTGAAGTTAAAAGATTTAAGATTTAGATCCTAATCCTAAAAATGGCTTAAAATTCACAACATTTTTAAAAGTATAATATTGGAACCTTTTTATTTGTCTTCTAGATTTTGAATTGTTTCTAGATCACATTTTTTGGCTTTATTGACAACGAGGAAGACCAGAAACTGATTATTTTTGTAATGAAACTTAGATTTTCACACCAGTATGTCGATCCAGAACCTATGTCTAAGAAAACCTCCAAATATTATAAGACTCGTTATTAAATTGTGAGAATTAGTAACAAAGACTGAAATACATTACTGATGGCCTTTCCCATCAGCCCTCCTGAAAGAAATGCAAATTAAATGCTTGTGTTTTTCCACTGATTTCCATTAGAGTGAATAACTTCAGGATGTCTGAACACTAAAGTAAATGCGATCTTCCTAATGGATAATTATTAGCTTGAATTATTCCAGTGTGTCTAGCAAAAAGGAGTATCTCAGCAACCCCTTTATATATATTTACTTTCTAGTTCTTCATAACAAAGAATCTCATTTGTGATTAATGAACATGAAATCATACACATGCAGCATTCTGAGGGCTGGCTTTCAGTTCTGAGGGACAAATTTCCTTCTTTTTCTGTCCACATCCTACCGCTGGGGCTGTCCCAGTAAAATTTGTCCGATACTAAACGTAAAAGGGATAAATGGAAGCTGTCAAAGTCCCTGTGATTAAAAAGCAGTTTTCATTACTATTTCATTACTATTTCCTACTTTTTCGTATTTTGGAATGTTAACCAGTAAGGCAAATGAGGAAGGCAAAGATAAAGGATGAGCTGTACCTGGCAAAGGAGGTTAAGGACAACAAGAAGAGGTTCTGTAAGTATGTTGGCCAGAAACGAAGGACCAAGGAAGCTGTGGGTCCCCTGTTAACAAGCCAGGGGAAACTCCTGACCAAAACATACAAAGAAGGCAGAGCTACTCAGCAGCTACTTTGCCTCAGTCTTCACCAAAAAAAAATAATAGGGATTATCTGGATAAGGAAGGGGGCAGATGAGGGAGGAGATAACAAAAGAGATGGTCAGAGAGCTTTTGTCGAGTCTGCATGCATTCAAGTTAGCAGGGCCAGATGAGCTTCATCCCAGGGTCCTGAAGGAACTAGCAGAGGAGATCTTGGAGCCCTTGGCAATAATCTTCATGAAGCCGTGGGAGATGGGCCAGGTACCAGGGGACTGGAAAAGGACCAGTGTAGTGCCTCTCTTTAAAAGGAAAAGATGGAGGATGAAGGGAACTACAGACTGGTTAGCCTCACATCAATACCTGGCAAGTTACTGGAGCATATCCAGATGAAGGCCATTTACAAGCATCTGGAGGAGGAAAGACTGATCACAAGCAGCCAGCATGTATTTATGAAAAACAAACCATGTCAAACTAGGAATGAGAAAGGCTAAATGTTTTTAAAAATAAGGATATTTATACTGGTAATGCATTACCGGTTAATGTTTAGCACAGGGTGCAGTCTGGCAGAGAAGGGAAGTTATGTGGTGCCTCAGGAACAAGAAGACAGGAGGGAAGGCAGGAGGGAGGGAGGAATGAGGAGGAGGAGATGGGAAGGGGTGAGGAGGACTGTGGCAGGGCACTGTTTGTGCCTGCCACTTTAAGGGCCTTAAGCCAAGCAGGCAGCAGGTGCTTAATTGCGGTGGCCATTTTAGTGCTCTGGCCGCCCATATAAACAGAGCAGTTTGCTGCTGGCAGCCAGGCAGCAACATTGCCTGGCCACAGGGCTGCTGGTATTATCTGGAGGTAAGGGAGGAGGTGTAGGGGATGGTTAGGAGGCTCTTGGTCCTGGGCGTGACCTAAAACTGCACCTTCCTGGGAGTGGGTGGCCTGGTGGGGCTCTCAATGGCACCCCCAGGAAATGCCAGACCAGTTATCCCCCCAGTGAAAGGCGGGTCGGGGCGCCTTAACCCTAGCTCCCACAACCAGGTGGGTCACCCGCTAGTAGGGCCAAAAGGTGGACCCAGGAGTGAGAGTGGGGCTAGAGACTATGACCTGATCAAGAGAGTATCCTTGACTGGTCCGGGCAGGGGCCAGGACCAGAATGGTCAAAAGGGCCAGGGGCCCATGGCGAGGGAAACCCAGAGCTTGGTGGGCCTGGGTTTCCTGACTGGCCTTGGAGGTGGGGCCAGGGCCTGTATGGCCAAAAGTC